AGAGGCTCCATTAATTAAAGAGGTTTGTTTTTATTATTTAAGTTTAAAATCAGAAGTCAAGTCCGAGAGAAGGTTACTTTTATAAACAGTTCACATCCTGTAAAGGAGCAACAAAAGTATAGTTATACTTTTATGTTAAAATGGGTTTACTGACATACTCATCTAGAATAAATCAACCTAATAACCTGTGTAAAGCCGGGTACTTTTGCAAGTGGAAAGTTATAATTTTCCTATACTGAAAATGTATTTCCAATAAATACTTATCTCTTCTCACAAGATTAGGTATCCTTGTTCAGTGCTGCCCTCTATATGTTAACACTTTCTTTACGTATGCCACAAACTTTTTGCTCCCCCCCTTGTTGGAATTAGTTCATTCTAATGTATCTCCTCATGCAAATTATCATGCATCATCTATTAACCAATAGTAGCATAGATTAGGTATTCTTGTTCAGTGCTGCCCTCTATATGTTAACATTTTCTTTAAGCATGCCACAAACTTTTCACCCCCCCCCCCCCTTGTTGGAATTAGTTCATTCTAATGTATCTCTCATGCAAATTATCATGCATCATCTATTAACCAATAGTAGCATAGTATGCTCACGTGACATATGTGACACTCCTCTACCAAACCTTCACTTTCACCGGAGAAATGGGGAGGAAGGGTGGAAAGTGTGAAAGGAGGTAAGTACCTATCGGAATTACATTATCAGTACAGTAAAATTATAACTTCCAATACAATACTTACCTCCTCTCACAGGATTAGCTAGAATCCCACATTGAGTAGAAGAAGGGACCAGTGTGAGCGAATAACAGAAGCATCCCCAAAAAAATCTGAAGGACACTCCTGACCATGAGAGAAAAAGATCCGGAAATCAGAGAAGGGAAACTGCACCACTTCTGAGCCAGGTACACTCTTCACCTTGTGTGTAATTTGTAAAACACAGGTAGAAGTCTTGAGGTGTAGAGTGGCTAGGATGCATCGGACCATGCTCAGCAAGTCAACTACATTGAAAACCTTCTCTACAGGGTACCAACATTCATGTAAGGCTAGGATGAGGATCATTCCATCTTCACCTACAACCCAAGAATTGGGGATTAAGATCTGCTCCAATTCCTGGGTACTACACAAGGATCAACACCCTACAGATATCTGGGACTGGCCATCCTGCATTGAGAGGATGGATTCAACTTGTGCGAGGACTAATGTTGATTGGTTCATTCGAATCCAACACCCCAATGCTGAGAACTGACATCCATCACTGAAGACAGTGCAATGGGTGACCACAATACCCTATTTTAAAAAAAGACCATGGCAGGGATGGGCAGCTATCCCCTTCTACTTTTTCC